GTAAAATCTTCGGAATTCGCCAGAATTTAACGTAGACATGTTTACTCGTGGATGACGGGAAAAAACAAAGATGCATCGGAAGGACCGTAACACCGTACCCAAAATTGAGACGTCACTTTTTTTTAACACTAAAAAATATCCAAAAATAAAATCAATAAATAGATGGAAGTGGTTGCGTAATCGCGTAGAAATCCACCTGCAAACCTGTCACAATTGCGTATGTTTTTATAGTGAAGTTTTCTAACCGCATATATGGCGGCGCACCGCAGCTCAAAACAGATAAAATCTTTCTGTGTTTGTTCATACCAAAGTGCCTGCGACTTCCGTTCAAGATGTTACGAAACACCCAATAGCCGAATCGAAAGTACCGTTCTTGAAGTCCACAAACGACGGGCGCGGTCGTCAATAGTTAAAGGCATCGGACGTTGCATGTGTTGTACTTTAGTGCCTTCATATTACGATTAGGATCAATACAAAACATATCTGCTTTATATTAAATGCACAAAAACATCAATTTCATGTTGTGACCTGCTTCTCGCTACCTTGACGCATGACACATTAAAAACCCTAGATATGTATACATAATAAGTTAATAAATAGATTATGTACTGGAAACTGTAGTCGCTCGAAAGACATTTCGACTTTAGTATAGAAATGGCTCAGATGAATAATTGTTCACGATTCAGTAAGAGTATGGTTGAAACGGATGAAACGTAATTTATAGAAATGAATGTTATTTATAGTTTGGACTGTTCGTTCGTAATTGCAACGCTGACAACTGCCTATTACAAAATTTTAAGAACGAAATCGCAATTGTACTCCAAATGGGTTTGACACTAATCAATCACCACACTAGAATTATCGGACGGCCGATCCTTTGGGTCTCTTTCTTTCTTACTGTTAAAGGAAAAGTGGTCCGAGAGTCGGACTCGGCGCTCATATACAATGATTAATAACCACTATTAAAAACAAATCGCAGGATATTGCAACGATATCTACTACTAGGACTAGGATTTTCATCGGAAATAGGTCGGTGCATATACACAAGTTCAAGTCTAGAATACGGAGGCTAACACCTGTTTGAAAAACGCTTTGTTATCAAGCGCACGGCGTTCTTTTTTGTGAGCGTATAATTGTTCATATTTATCATTTACAATAATTATTTAAAAATAGGAACCGACAACCTGAATCGAGTATCCGAATAAACTATTAAGTGGATTGTTTGATTCATAATAGCAAATGTACAATATCAACAGGAATGTTACAATAGAGGCGTATATATTGCTCTATAAATGAATTTGTGACTCGACGAACACGAGTGTCACGGACAGCCGTCGTAATGCAACGCCGTGTAAGAATAACAATGTCTATGAACTTATCTTTCAGAGTTTGGGTCCAATTTGTAAATTGCGCTAACAGTACGCTTTTGAAACAGCTGCAACAAACCAATCGCGGGGTTGTCGTAATGTTCCTGATCAAGTTCTAAAATTTTTTGATCGCGTCTACTGTAGAGGTGCTGTTTTCACAGCTTAGTTATTAATCCTTTGCGATTTGGCATCTAAGATTTGTATGTAAAAATAGTTTTGTATTTACAAGGTTAAATTTATAAGTTAGATAATGTAAATATTATATACAATTTGTTTTTTTTTTTCATGTTAACGACACTGGTTATGATCTACACCAATTTACTACATTTTGGAAATAGTATAGATACAGTAGTTTTAAGCATATTGCTGCCATTTAACTTTAATTAATAAGGAAGTATCATCCGTAAACAATACTAACTCATGTTCGATATCCTTGCACAAGGCTAGGTAAGATAAAAAACAGACGTGGGCCTGGCATTGGACCTTGAGGGATGCCCATGTTAACGCAGACCCTGGTCACATCCATCCTCTTGAGCCCATTACTCAAATCCGATTTATGAAAATGAGATCTGCTAATCGAGTATTTACGTTACGTATTATAGATAGAGAGAGCCGGCAGACACGAGTTTGGTTCGTACATGTCTGGTTTGTACGCCTTAAAAAAAATAAATACGATAAGGATTTTTGAACGCTCAGCGCACAGAAAAGAACGCCTGCGTGTGATATCTGCAAGTGTGTATTGCACGATTAGGAATGTTTAGTCTTATAAATATTATAGAACATTTTACCGAATTCCAATTCAAGTGGATGATTGTTTCTATGCGCAAGTAGTCGACTCGTGAATTGGTTCATAACAAACTAAAATAAGTCGTACAAACAAACGTCTGTGATTCACTAACTGACATGTCAGATGACAAAAGGAATAGGAAGGACATAACTCATGCTTGGATAATCTATACTCTACGTGATTTTTAAAAAGACTTAACACATACAAATATACACAAATTAATCTATGTATTTTATATAATATCGAATAGAATTCAATAATTTTGTGGGTAGTCGGGTGACATTAACGTACTTTCGTGATTAGGTCCCTCTTTGTCGGCCAATACTTGGAGTAGTGAGTAGATATTATTTTTAGATATATTGCATTAAACACCAGTGTGTACATAGTGTAAATATAGTTATTGATATAGCGCTGTGACTGTTATTATAAAACTTATAAATTTATTTAGATGTATATTGTCGTAGGTAGGTAGCGCTATTTTTGTACTCAACAGTTGCCTTGCGGCCGACGCCGACGCCGACGCCGACGTCGCGATACCCAATGTAGAAAATGTTAAAGGTGGCAATGCGCAGTCGGTATAAGGTACAACGCTTATCAGCATGTAATACTACACAGTAATACTACAGCCTATAGTAATCTACGGCGATACATATATTTGAACAAGGGTGTAAAGTGTCAATTTTTCTTTGTTATTATATTTTTTGCACTTAATCGACGCCTAGAAGTACGTAGACAAAGCGTGACAGTGGGCTGTTGAAGAAAAAAAATATTTATGTCTTTTTACTTTTAATGACCTTTTATAAAACTTCCGAGGTCACAATATTTTTAATCCATATGTATTTATTGTTTTAATTCATCGCCGAAGTGTAAGGCAGTGTATTTTTATTCACTTGTAAGTTCCACCTAACGCACGGAGCTATGTATGTGTTACATGGTTCTTCTATTGTATATACAGCCACGAAGACGAGCGTTATTACTCTTGTCAACGTCACACCAACCGCGCAGCGCCACCCAAACCCGAATGAATAAAAAAAAAATCAATGTGATATATTGGTGACACCAACAATTTGCATGTGTTTCGTTTCACTCGACTTAATTCTATACAAGGCTAATATTCTAAGAACCTTTCCAACGCGTGTCAGTACCGAGTGGGAAAACGAGTTTTTGAGCCAGTGAACCATTAACGTGATGCTAAGTGGCTAAGAACAAGCTGCGTTTAGGTATACGCTTCGTGTGTGCCGAATAG